GAAGGAGAGAGAGAGAGAGAGAGAGAGAGAGAGAGAGAGAGAGAGAGAGAGAGAGAGAGAGAGAGAGAGAGAGCTGGGATATGGTACTACTGTAACACAAAGGTTTACAAACTTCAGCTACACTTAGCCTAGCACTAGCCGAAAACTAAGGAGGCACACAGATGATTTCTACAGTCCACCACAATAATGAACATAAGAGTGGCATTTCTAAGTCTGTATATAACCTAACAAAGGACAACTAATAAGCCATCGGCTTTTTCTTACGGTACTCGCTAATTAAAATTCCTCCAAGGTTCTGGGCTGCCTCGTAGTCCATAACACCCGTCTCCTTAGGTTCTGAAGCAGGTGCTTCATATTCAACATAAGCATAAGGCTCTTGTGGTTTATAGTACTGATAATAACTAACCCTCTCCGTTGTTGCAGAAACTGGGGATTGTTGATGAACCAAAACATGATAGGGTTCTTGTGGATGATACTGATAACAGCTAGTTCCTTGAGGCCTTGTTGGAGCAAGATTATACCTCTCCATTTGTTCGAACCCTCCGTTGTGATAAGCAACATAGGGTTGTGGAGGTCGATACTGACAATCTCTTTGTGGTGGTGGTGGTGGTGTTGGCCCTTGTGGAGCAGGTGGAGGCCTGTGTGAGGGAAGAAGAGGCCTTCCCTTTCTCCCAAACATTCCCTCCACAAGATCAAAGCCTTCCAAGCCAATCTTATAAAGGTCCGACTGAGGTGCCATCAGAAAGTAGTTTAGTCTCTGAGTGGCAGTTATACAGAAGTTTTTGTCAAGTGTGTTTGGTGCAAAGACTACACAAAGCAAAAGCCCCTTTATATAGAAGCTGAGACACATGGAAAAAGAATCTTGTAACGACCTCTAAATTCCTACCTTGTTGGCAATTCAATTCCTTCAGGATATTTGTTGTGGCCTATCTTTAAATAGTAGATTTTTATGGGGGCAATCGTGCCATTTTTTGTGATATGGAAGCTTCAATTCCTGATACATGAGAACCCAAATCTTAGCTGCAGATAAAAGTGATAGTTGCAGATTTGCTGTGTTTATCTAACCTACTTTGGGTGGGGGCTCAGGTTCTTGATTGTGTAAGAGTTTTTTTTTTAGGCGGCCGCATTGGTTAAATGTACTAATTTGATTAATCAATTAATCGACCTGCATAGATTAGTTTAGTAGTTCAATAATGAGTATAGTGTAAATTTACATATTTTCAGTATAAACATTTTTGACAATCTTAAATTTATGTCTAAAGACGACACGTAATTAATAAACAATTACATATATCATAATTTTACGGTATAATCATGAATCTAAAACATTTATAGTTGAGATTATTATCAATTACTAAACATACCCACTTGAGTTGCTTTGAGATATTTTGATCAATGTTTCATGCTCTTTTGTTTGAAATATTTTCAAAAAAGCATTTTTATTTCTTCTAGGTGACCAAAAAAAAAACTTTAATCCTAACCTCTGCCATGCCATGTCAAGTGTCCATAACTTAATCTTGGAGTTTAAGGATATTAATATTCTTCCATATCTATGTGGAAGGACAGGTCTTGTAGGTGGCAGGATTTGACACTTTCTCCCAAGCAAAAACATGAGATCGAGCATATCCTTTCTTAAAGATAGTTACCAGCCAGTACTCATGCTTGAAAGTGTAGAGCTTGTTAGGATTGAGGAAGTGTGTACAGGAGAAGGTTTGTCTTTGAAAGCACTTATATTATCCTTTTTTCTTTTTTTTTGGTTACATTATGTTCAAACTTGTGACAACTACTCTCTCCAATTTAACGGCGACTACTATGATTTGAACTGGGACAAAACATATTCCCAAGGAATAAAGATCATATTCCCAAGGAATAAAGATCATTCCCTTATCCATTTGCATCTTACCTTTTGAAGTCAAAAAGCAATGGAGGTGACTAGTTGAATCTCGAATATATGATAGCTATCAATGGCCTTTTCATATTCTATATATATACCGATAAAAAAATGAAGCATGATTGATAAATATTTAACTCAAAATACGCTTTGAGGACCATATTCAGAATGATTGGTTCTTACCTAACTACGTAATAAGACAATAGATTAAAGTTTTGAGGGCACTCTAGTTGAATTAACTGATCTCACTTTGCTCGGTAATAAGATGATAGATTGTTAAAATTTTCCTTGGCACTCGTAAGAAATTATAACATATCTGATCTTTGTTGGACGTCCAAATCCTACTCATTTCATGTAACCGTGAAATAAAATCATGGAGCGTCGTGGGTGTTAAAATTTAATTATATATCCTAATGTTGGTGAAAAAGGTACTAAAACTAATTCCTCCCAAAATTAATTTAAAAAAAATCATATTTCTCACAAGTCGAAGTCGAAGCACAATTTCTTTGTTGAAGGTGCTGTTAAGCCACTACGAGGATCCTGTATCCAGCAATTAATGGACCCATGAAGTAAGTTATAAAAGAACGAATAACAAAGGCTAGGGTCCACAGCAAACTTGCCCACCCATGCACACTCATGGGCCGGGCTACAGGACTGTTGATCGAACCTAGATTGGGCCAGGCTTCCAAATGGGTCTATTTCACAGATTTTTTATGGGCCAAAACAAGCCTAGCGAGCTGAAAACATGACCATGGTCCTATCCGTTGGATCAATGGATAATCCATTGACAACTTATGATGGGCCAAGTCTCTCATTAATCCAGTGGGCCTTCTGCGTTTATTGCAATATGAACATTTGACGCTAACACGTATCTACCATGTTAACCCATTAAGGACAAAAACATAAACATGGCCCCACATTAACCAAATCAGAAAAAAATAACATTACCTTTTCAAAATTTAGACATAAATTATCTATTTTTGGCAAAAACAAAATTGTTGTGGACCATCTCATTAAATAGTTTGAGCAATGTTATATAAACTTAAACAATAGACTTAAAAACTAGACTTGATAATTTTAATCATTAATTTCACTGCAGGTCCCAACTTTTATTGAAATCCACTACTTATTCAATGATTGAGATTATCAAGTCTAATTTTTAAGTTTATCTAGCATTAGTCAAATATTTTTCTTAGAAAAATTCATTTTTTGAGATCATTATGTTTAGAGGTGTCAATCGTGTCGTGTCGTATTAAATTTGTGTCGTGTCACTTTCGATCGTGTTATTTTTGTGTCGTATCACTTTTGGTACGTGTCGAGTTCGTATCAATATTCGTGTTAATAAAAAATTATTTAATTTGATAAAAATTAATATAATATTTTTTAAAAAATTATAAATTCTTATTTTTTTATCTAAAATATTTATTAAATAATTATTTTTTATCTACAGTATTTATTAATCGTGTCGAACTTTAATTTGATGCATTTATTTTTCGTGTCATATTTATGTTCGTCAGCATATACTCAGCCTCTGTTGACAAATAAGTTCGGTATTTTCAAGGCAAATCGGCAAGAGCTACAAATCGGTGAACTTTTGCAAATTATTTGTTCTGAAAGCTAAGAAAGTAGTTCTTGATCAGTGTGAGCAATCGGAGAATGGGTAGCCGTACATGTGATCTTGTCGGCAAGGTTCATCCCGCCCACCAGTTCGACCTCGACGCCTTGTTTCGCTACGCCTCTGCTAATGTTCAAAGTTTCCCTCTCTCTCCTACCAAATTCACCGTCTCTCAGGTGGGTTCTTATACTCCTTCTACCTCTACTTGAAATTCTTGGTGATTTCTCAGGTGGGTTACTGTTTGATTGCTTTCTTCGCAGCCAAACAAGTGGTGGTGGTGGAATTTTTGATTGTATGATTGAGTTTGTTTGATATTTGTTTTGATTCAGTTCGGGCATGGTCATTCCAACCCTACGTTTCTGCTGGAAGTTGGGTCTGACTCTTCTGTGAAGCGCTATGTACTGAGAAAGAAACCCCCTGGGAAATTGCTTGAATCTGCCCATGCCGTCGAGAGAGAATTTCGGGTTGCACTTTTCTCTTATATTTATGTTTTATCAACTTTTTTCCCTTTTTCTGATGGAATGAAACAGTCAGTGATTGATAATATAATGATGAATGAGAATGAATTTGATGTGTTTTTGAATATATTCCAATTGAAGTTGTGAACTTGTTCTGATTTGACTTTGAAATGTGACAGGTTCTACATGCATTAGGCACCCATACACTGGTTCCAGTGCCTAAAGTTTTCTGTTTGTGTACTGATTCGAGTGTGATTGGAACTCCATTTTACATCATGGAGTATTTGGAAGGGCGCATATTTTTAGACCCCAAGTTACCCGTATGAACTTTGTTGTGAATTATAATTGCTATATTTGGCTTGTGATTTATAAATTTGGATATTCATGTTCACTGACGGTGATGGATTGAAGACTTGCAACCTATCTTTTTGAATAGGGTGTAGCACCTAGTAGGAGGAAAGTGATATATCAAGCCACTGCAAAAGCTTTGGCTTCTCTTCACTCTGCTGATGTTGATGCCGTTGGTCTTGGAAAGTATGGGCGGCGAGACAACTATTGTAAACGGCAGGTCTGTAAATATTCTTCCTCAAGGTTTTAGCTAATTGTTGATCATGTAATTGCTTTTAATATTGTATCTTGAAATGCCTTTTGTATGCCAAAGTTATAGGCTGTGTTATGAGTTAGTTATCCTCTATTTAGCTATATCAGTTTCATGTTTATTCCCATCTGGATCGATTTATGACTCAGTAATGCTTGTGAATTTTAACGGTCTTTGCTGCTAATGTCAATGAATGAGGTAGCTAGCTAATGGGATATAATGTTACTTTAGGTGGAGAGATGGGCCAAACAATATCTTGCTGCTACTGGAGGGTCTGAGTCCGAGAGAAATCCAAAAATGTTAGAGCTGATTGATTGGTTGCGGCAACATATTCCTTTTGAAGATTCTTCCGGAGCAGCAGCAGGTCTGGTCCATGGTGATTTTCGGATTGATAATCTTGTGTTCCATCCCATCAAGGTGCAGTACTTCAAAATTTGTTATATTTGTTTCAGCATATAATTTGAGTTTTCACATGTTGTAATATTTACTATGTTTAATTACTGAGTAGTCTAAGTCTCGTCAGATAGTTTCAATTTCTTGTTCATTTTCTTCTTTTTTTTTTTCCTTTTTCTTTCTAATGGTAGAAGAACAACTAATTAGTTATTGTTGGAGGTGCAGGATAGAGTGATTGGCATTCTTGACTGGGAGTTGTCCACCCTTGGAAACCAGATGTGTGATGTTGCATGCAGCTGCTTGGTATTCCAATCATTTTGCAACTCTATTCGTTCGGGTTTAAAACATGTTCTTTGTGTGTTTTGGTAGGGATGGTGAAGGTGTTTGTCTTGTTTTAACTGACTGTAAAATGATATTCCTTTATTTATTGATACCATATTTTTTTTAATATCTTTTTTGATAATAGATCTTGTTGATTGTTATTCTTCTGGCTTGCTTGTTATCAAATTGTATAATAGCAGGTTGTAGATGCTGCACAAGTAACTTTTGGGATCTGATTATTAGTTTTCTTTCTTGGCAGCCTTACATTGTGGATATTGATCCAGATAACGTTGGACAGAGTGAAGGTTTTGAACTTACTAGCATTCCTGAAGGAATTCCTTCTCTGGCAGAATATCTGGCTGATTACTGTTCTGCATCTGTAAGGCCCATTTTGATAGTTTCAATTGGATAGTTGTTTAGTGTGCACGCATCTCTTACGAAAGGTGATAGGTACTAATGAATTAAACTCAGTAATGTTACCCAAAGAAAAGATCAGCTGGTGTCTATAGATACATGTAGCCTATGC